CGAAGGCAAATAAATGTTTATAAAATATTGCAAAAAAAGCGGTTTTGAGGCCAGAGAACCCAAATCTTAAGTTATTTCTGTCGAAATCTTTCATATAGTATTTTTAAGACACACTTTATATTATCAAAGTTAATGTCCTCATATATGCCAATCCATGTTTAAATACCTAGATAATATTTTAGATTTCGTGTTTGAAATCCCAAAATCATAGTACTAAGATTCATTGGACGACTCTAAAGCAAACTGTGTAGAAATTGTTTGTGTTAAATGCCTTTTAAACAATAAAAAGTGCGAGTGCAAATGGATTTTTATAAAATATTGGTCTAAAGCGTTTTCGAGGCCAATTAAACTCAAATCTGACATTTTTTTGCGTAATTTTCCCTATACTTGTTTTAAGACACACTGTATATTATCAAAGTCAAAGTCCTTATATATGCCCAAACATATTTTAATACCTAAATATTATTCAGATTTGGATTGTTTAACCCCAAAAAGGCAGGAATATGATATATTATACCATTCTGGTAATCTTCGATAACATTTTGTTATAAATGCCATTTAAACTTTATAAAGTACGAAGGCAAATAAATGTTTATAAAATATTGCAAAAAAAAAATCGGTTTTGAGGCCAGAGAACTCAAATCTAAAGTTATTTCTGTCGAAATCTTTCCTATAGTAGTTTCAAGACACACTATTTATCAAAGTTAATGTCCTTATATATGCCAATCCATGTTAAAATACCTAAATAATATCTTAGATTTCGTGTTTGAAATCCGAACATCATAGGACTAAGAAACATTCGACGACTCTAAAGCAAACTGTGTAGACATTTTTTGTATTAAATACCTTTTAAACAATAAAAAGTGCGAGTGCAAATGGATTTTTGTAAAATATTGCAATAACGCACTTTCCAGGTCAGTAAACACAAATCTGACATTATTTTTTGCTTAATTTTCTCTATAGTCGTATTAAGACTCACTGTATCTTATTAAAGTCAGTGCCCCCATATATGGCCTTCCATATTTAAATACCTATATATTACTTTAGATTCGGATTTTTCGACCTCAATATCGCAGGATAACGATACATTGTACGATTTTAGTAAATTCTATTTTAAATGCCATTTAAACTACAAAAAGTACTACCGCAAATGAATTTTAATTAATTTATGCAAAAAAGCGTTTTTGAGGGCAGTGAACTTAAAATCGACATTATGTTTTATAATCGTTTTAAGATACACTGTATATTATAATCAAAGTCAATATTTTCATATATGCCAATCAATATTTAAATACCTCACTTCAAATACGAAGTTTAAAAAAAAGTTGTATAATATTCGCATTTTTTAACCACAAAACCTTGGATTAAGGTAAATTTTTTATTTATTGTCCTCAAAAACGCCGAACGGCATAATGTCCTTAAAACAACCTATCTATATGTAATCTTATGAGGACAGTCTCCAAACATGCCATAATACATAAAATCTTATGAGGACCGACCTCATAAGCACCAAATGTTCTCGAATCTGCCATTAGTTACTACTTTTCGTCCTCAAAACTGCCTTTTGACATATATATATATATATATATATATATATATATATATATATATATATATATTAGTACTTAAGGTAAATCAAATGTAACATTGTTAGATAACAGTTGCAGTTAAAAGTCTATAGTAAAGTCCGATTAAAATAAGAACACCGATACGTCATAACCAATATTTTAAAATTTATATCATATAGAGAATAAGTAAGTTGTTGGGTATAAAAAAAGATTTCTTATATTTCTATAATATTAACAAGCCACTAAACCTGCAGTAGGTGGCCATAGCCAATGAATTACTTCGCCAAGTGATGCTGTAGCTGTGTTCTTCTTATTGTACTCGGACCATAATACTTTATTCAATCAGCAAAACTCTGTAAAAATAAATTTATAACTATCTTCAAATAATATCAGCAGTAAACCCAAATTCAACATTTTTATGAGACCTAAATAAAAACAACGTATGTTATGTAAAATTTCACCAAAAAGCAGAAAATAATTCAGTTTCATTTTTGTACAAATTTTTGTGTCTTACACGGAAATATGTCAATAGCAATGTCTATGCCTTTAATGTTATACTTACATTAAAATATTGTTGCCAGTGTTTTACAGCGATATTTTTTATGGAGCTTTCCGTATTAATGTCTAACAGTAATACGCACTATAACCAATAATAACATTGAATTCTTTATTAAACAAATTGCTAATAGCCATAAATATGATCAGAACCTAATCGATAATGTGCTTCACATAAACTTAATCAGAACAATAGTTACATAATTACCCCCATACACCACATGGAATTAGACAACTGTCACAATTTATACCGCATAGCGAACTTGTTCAAGGAATCCTTCAGAATTAGTTTTAAAACTTCTAACTCCATCGGTAGTTTATTCGTTAGAAACAAAGATAAAATAGACATTATGGACCAATCCGGTGTACATGAATTAACATGTTCAAGTTGCCTATGTTCATATGTCGGTAGAATGTCTCATAGTTTTAAAGTTCATCTGAAGAAACACATACGTTGTCTCAATGCTAATACCACGGGCTTCTCCCATTTCATTTTGCATACGACTTCCAACAAATTTCTATTAAATAACTTTGAGAACCTGAAAAATTAAAAAAATAATGTATCTAAATTTGCTCGTTGAACGCGCAAATTCAATTGATTAGTACTCCAACTTTTTCGGCTCATATTTCGAATAATTTTTCATCCCCCTTGTATAACTTACTAATATTTTAATTCTTCTGTTTTAACTCCATATTTCAATAGCTCTATTTTATATTTTTTCTTTTTTATACTTCTGACCACGTGTTTCGTTTTCTAAAAATGAATTTTTCCTAGCTTGGCACATAATTTAATATTTATTATTATTATTTGTTATGTCAAACACTTTTTTTACATTATTTTCGTTTCCAACAACATACTTTTTTTTGACAAAGAAGAAATTAATACATCTACTGCAGATTGCGGTAGGTTTCTTGATGAAGTGGATGTGGGTTCCTTTTGGGAAGAGATGAAAGGTTTTTGATAGTAACTAAGTTACCTAACTTTGATTTTAGTACTTTTAAGAAAATTGGATACCATGGTTGGGTTTTCTTTATTGGTACTACCAATATACCCTCCACTTCCTCTTTTTATTGTTTTTATTATTAGGACAAAAGGGAGAAAGGCTTAAAAGAAAGATTTTAACCATAGTAAATGCATCCACAGCTATAGAATCGGGGTCTCTTTTCTATGACACAAAAAGTTTACATTTATTATTTAGTTTTGATGCGGAAAAGTAAATTTTTGGAAACTCAAAATTGAATGCCATTATATTTAAACGTATTTCAGTATTGAGGTTTGGAGAACTTGATTTAAGGTCAGATAAAAAGTTCTGCGATGACTTTATGGAAGTTGCGAATATGATATGTATTTAACGTGTTTCACACTATTGCCATATTTTGCTTGTAAATCTGGAGAGATGTATATTTCTTATTCCACCGATACGATTAATATAATAGCAAATAGCGATTGTTTTAGAACAATAGCGTAATTACTCATTTTTTTTGTGAAACCGTTGTAAGCGGCTAATAACTCCAAATAGTTGATATGAAATGTGGATTCAGTAGAATCCCAAAAAAACTGAGTGGATTCTAAAATAGGATACGCTCCCCACCCTATCACAGATGCGTCAGAGTAAATAGTTAGGGATTTGTTAAATAGCAATTGAGGAACAAATGTTCTGGTTATGACATTAAGCCACCATTTTAATTCATCTTTTACCTCGTCAGAGATTAATATTTTTGACTTATAATCTTGCTTTATTTTTTTTAAAGATAAATATTTATGTCTTTCCAAGATTTTTGTACATAAAAATCCGTATTAATTTGTAGGACAAATTGACACTAAATGACCAAAAAATATATTTAAATCTTTAATTTTGTAAGTTTTGTGTTTCATAAAACTATTTATTGGGATTATTATATTTTTTTTTTGTTAATTAGGCATTCCAAACTGAATGGCTACCAGTGGGTTCTGACGGGTTATGATATGGCAAAATTATGGCAACCCTGTAGGCCTGGTGATTTGACAAGGTCAATGAAATAGATAGTTACATAGATTGATCATCCATATTTTTCAAAATAAACATAAGCTTATGCCTTGAAGTAAAATTGTAAGCAATTATTTTTTTTTAAATATCTAAAGGCTAAACATTGGTTTTAAAACACATTTTTTCTAAACCGATTCAAATTAATAAATATTTACCAGGCAATATGGCCGCTCGTAAACGACCAGCTTTGAGCAATCTATATAACTATATATGTATCATTGACCCTGTTAATGACAACATGACAACAGGGTTGCCACTGGTAGCCATTTGGACAGGTCGTTGGAATGCCTAATTGGATGGTAAATAAATTCCAGAAATATACAAGATCTACTCAGTAAAAGTTGTTTTTTTTTTTTTTGGTAGTTTATTACGAAATCTAAGGCTTCTAAGGAAATTTTTGTAAAATAAATGGTGCTGATGATAGCCTGAAAGAAAGGGTATTTTCTGTTTTTTCTATATTTGCATCTGATTTTGCCGCCTTACACTTTTCTATAAGATTTTTACCAAAGAGGAAGATAGCTCTGAATATTTAAAACTTTAATTTATTCGATTTGAATTAGAAATAATTTAAATAGATTTTATTAACTTAAACCTTTTAACCTGAACCAACACATAAAACTTTATTAATCCAGTATTATTGCTCAAGAAAACATCACAAAAACATTTTTATCAACTTCTCAATTTAATTAGAATCTTACATTATACTTATGACTTTTTGGTTTTAAGGGTACGATGTTTGATGACATACAAAACAAATTTAAAAATTAATTTTAAAATATTCAAATCCTAGTAATTTATATTTTATTTGATAAGTTTACTGATAAATTTTAAGTTTACTGATAAATTTTAGGTTTACCTAAGGATGATGATAAGCTGAAAGAAATTGATGCTGATCTAACTAAACTGATATCAGATCGGGTTAATATCGCCCCCGAAAACAGACAGACTGTAGGATTGTTATTGAAGCAATTATATGTTGGCAATAGTTCATTTGAAAAAGATTTTGGTGGATACATAAAGGTAAGATGGAATATCTAAAGTTTATATTTTGTTTAGATAATAATAAATATTATTACATAATAATTATATAATTGCATCTCCTATGTACTTTATTATTTACAACTAAAATAAATTACCTATTAATACTCTCTGGGACCTATAACTTAAATAACTTTTTATAAATGAGGAAGCTTTGAAATAAAAACCAATGTGGTGCAAGAGAGATACAAGTAGAAGATGATGCACCCTATCAGAAGCTTTACTATAGTCAATTAAAACTAATGCACATAACTTCTTATCATCTATGGCTTGATAAATATCATCAGTTATGTTAGCCAGAGCGGTGGAGCAACTGTTACCTTGACGAATCCCGGACTGATTTGCTGGGATAATGTTATTTAGATTAGTAAACTTTCGAATTTGATTATCTATAATTTTTTTCAACCCTTTAAAAAGTGTGCACAAAATACTAATAGGTCGAAGATCTGTAAACTCAACAGGATTATTCTTTTTCGGTAACGGAATTACAATGGCTACTTTTTGGAACAATGAGTGGACAACAATGTAATATCATCTTGATATTTATTAGATTTACTCAAGTAGCATTAGATTTGATTGACAAAAGTAATTTGTACACCTCTAATTCGTTTACCAACTCGAATGAGAATGAGGAGATAGAGTTATTTAGGTTATTTTTAAAAAATAATTCACTATTGTTTACATTACTATCACAGGTTGAAACAGAAATAAAGTTATCATTGAAAGTGTCAGGTGAACATAAGTAACTAGGTAATTCAGTAATTTCTTTTACATTAAAACCTAAATTTTTTAACTCGTGCCATATGTTGCGTTTGTTATTCAATTGAAACTCAAGATAAGCCCTTTTTCCGTTTAATAGCATGATTAACTTCGTTTCTAAGATGTTGATATTATTTCCAATCATCGTTGGTTTTAGGGATTTTAAATTTTTTATGATCATTGTCTCGTAACCTCATCATCGTTTTAAGGGTATCTATTAGCCAAGGAGATTTCTTACGAGAAACTCCTATTATTTTGATGGGAGCATGTAAATTAAATAAAGAAAAAAAAATTTTTTTTTCTACCTATATGGTTATAAAATCTCAGACAACTAGATATTGAAAACAAATTATACTTCCCTAGTCCTGAGAAATCCAATTTGAGCCATCATATTAGATTTAGTACCCTTCGTTTTTCTACAACTTCTAACACGGACCTATTGGAGGATCTATAGATGAATCTGAATTCTGATAATTGCTTGTATTTTAAAGTACCCCGCAATAATCTTATGGAAATTAGGTTTCTGTCAAATTGTCTGAATTTTTGATATGTTGTAGATTTTGTCATCCTGAACAAAAGTCTCCATGGGCACAAAGTGCCAAAATAAATATTTTGGCAGCTACGGAGCTGCCAAAGCTCCCCTGACCCGTTGCATAACTATTCATTTTCAATACTATTTACAGATGTCAAAAGCATATTTTAATTATTCTAATATATAGGGTAATGTTTTTGAAGTCACTGGTTTCACCCCTTATGTCAGATTGGACAAATTGACCGTTGACAGCTGTCAATTCACTGTCAACGAGGAATATAAAAGTAAATATCCTCTATTCACATTGAGAGTTTGGGTTTTTGAGGTCGCTGAATTCAATTCTCATGTCAGATTGGATAAATTGACAGTTGACAATTGTCAATTCACTGTCAACAAAGAATGGAGAAGTAAATATTCTCTGTTGACATTGAGAATTTAAGTTCTTGAGGTCGCTGAATTTAATTCTCATACCAGATTGGAAAAATTGACAGTTGACAGCTGTTAATTCACTGTCAAAGTAGAATAAAGAAGAAAATATTCTCTTTTCACATTGAGAGTTTGGGTTTTTGAATAAACGAAGTCTCTCAAGAATCCAATGACTAGCGATGATCGAAACACATCAAATATTTGGGCATAATTATATTCCTTTCAAACATAGGTATTCTCTTGGTGAAGATTATCATACCTAGTTGACAGCTGTAAACTTACGGTGTCTTCAATTTTATGACTTACTTGGATTCAATGATCTAAAAAGCATAGAAATGTTGCAAATAGCAAGATTTAAGTTAAACGTATTTTAATACCAACACTCATTGTAAATAGAGTTACAGCTGTAAACTATTATTTTCTCTGACTGTACATCAGCTTTGGATTTAGCAGGCTCAAAATAAATCATTGTAAGGTCAAAAATAATTTCTTTAATATTTTATCTACTTTGACAGTAAATTGACAGCTATCAATTTTTCCAATCTGATATTAGAACTGAATTCAGCTCCCTTAAAAGCCCAAACTCCTAATGTCAACAGAGTATATTTACTTTACTATTCTTCATTGACAGTGAATTGACAGCTGTCAACTGCCAATTTTGCCAATCTGGCATGAGAATTGAATTCAGCGACCTCAAGAACCCAAACTCTCAATGTCAACAGAGAATATTTACTTCTCTATTCTTCGTTGACAGTGAATTGACAGCTGTCAACGATCAATTTGTCCAATCTGACATGAGAATTGAGTTCAGTCACCTTAAAAACCCAAACTCTCAATGTGAAAAGAGGATATTTGCTTTTATATTCCTCGTTGACAATGAATTGACAGCTGTCAACGGTCAATTTGTCCAATCTGACATGAGGGTTGAATCCAGTGACCTCAAGAACCCAAACTCTCAATGTCAACAGAGAATATTCTCTATTCTTCGTTGACAGTGAATTGACAGCTGTCAACGATCAATTTGTCCAATCTGACATGAGAATTGAATTCAGCGACCTCAAAAATCCAAACTCTTAATGTGAAAAGAGGATATTTACTTGTATATTCCTCGTTGACAATAAATTGACAGCTGTCAACGGTCAATTTGTCCAATCTGACATGAGGGTTGAATCCAGTGACCTCAAAAACATTACCCTATATATTAGAATAATTGAAATGTGCTTTTGACATCTGTAAATAGTATTGAAAATGAATAGTTTTGCAACGGGTCAGGGGAGCTTTGGCAGCTCCGTAGCTGCCAAAATATTTATTTTGGCACTTTATGCCCATAGAGACTTTTGTTCAGGATGACAAAATCTACAACATATCAAAAATTCAGACAATTTGACAGAAACCCAATTTCCATAAGATTATTGCGGGATCCTTTGATTCTTGATTCAAAACAATTAAATTAGGGTATGTTTAACCTCTTTAACTCTCTATATTTGTTACATATTTATTTTAGTAACAGTCGTACACTATTTTTATAAATTGATACTATATTAATTTTCTCCTATTACTTGTTTGACTTTATTTCTATTTCACCTGTATTAAGTAACTTAGATAATGATTTTGGAGTGTACCCAACAAGGTTCTATTTTCCATCAATTACATTGGGACTCCGTGTGAAGCTGTATCGTATAAGTTAACAAACGTATCTTTTGATGCTATCTAGTATGCATCTAGGCAGTGATTTTTCTTTACTACACCCTCTTACTTTTAAAAAATATTTTTCTATTGTTTTCTTTCGTTCTCATTTACCATTACTTGGTGTCATGTATGGGTCATATTATTTGACTATTCAAACTATACCTACAAGTGCGAACAGTCAAATGGCCACAACAGAGTCTAGTTATATACTAAGTAAATCAAAAAAAAAAGTCTACCTGAAATGTAAGGCGATAACTTAAATAAAATATTAACTGATGGCTATATTTACGGCCTAACGTAAATTTATTTTAATGTTTTCTTTGATAACAATTTTATCTTCATTATCAACGTTATAAATCTTTCTTAATAATAATTATTGTCTCTTTAATTCAACAACCTGACAGCGATTGAAATAGATTATGTCAGAAAATTGTCTCGCGGTCAATTCATCAGCTTGAGTTGCTTTCAGTTCATAAATCAACATGTCAACTTTTTGTCAAAAGGCGTGCGGAGAAAATGCAATAATAATAGAAACAATAATATAAGAATGACAAGAACTGATAAACAAAGAGGAATTTATTAATATGTGCCTAAGCTAAAGTTAAACTAAATCTAATTTAACCATAATGCTTTACGAGGCGCGTCTAGAATATACAGGGCGATTCCTAAGTTGATACCTCTTTTATAATTATGCATAGAAGTAATTAAAATAAACATCTTAAAATTACTAAAAAAAAATCATAAAAATTATAAAATAATCCAAATCTGGGTCTGTGTTAATCGATTGTTCTTCTCAATCACACAGTAGGTTATCTTTGTAATGAATATAGTAAAATACAGTGCAATTAATAGAAATAAATTATTAATGTAAAAAATTGCTTACTATGAAGAAACCACAAACGCATCAATATTAATTTTTAATACTCATGTAGAGACGTTGCATTACTAGTATTGGCGTAATGACGTTATCGATAATTTTTTTAAATACAAGCGGGGGTCAGGACACACCTCACTTGAAAGATCTCATAATCATTTATCTAACGGTATAATTATTTTTACAAGAACAACCAAATTTATGAATTTATTAACATTATCAGAGGCGATATAAATATAAAACTTTTAAATGTTTTAGACTATATTAGGGGGTGCAAAAATATATATTAGAATACATGGTTTCACATCATATGTTAATGAGTATATAGTATTCGAACATTTCTAAATCATTTTGCAGTGACAACATTGTCTCACCTACTCTAATTGAGATGGGACAAAGATCACCTCTCAAGATTAATTTTTAATGAGATCAAATACAATAAAAACAATTTTATTGATATAAACTTATCGTCTACCCAGCTTTCAAATTTTTATCAATTTTTCATATTCACATAACATGGAAATTTGGCACCCCCTCTCTGAAGTTGCACTGGTTGTGGAAGTTTCTTAAAAATTTGAGAGATATCCACAACAGATTCATCAGGGACTTGTGGAAAAATGAAGGTATTTTCCACTTTAGAGCTTCCTCTTAAAAAAGTAATGCACAATTGTCCATCATTGTTTCCTAAGATTTTACCTATAAAATTCCTAGGAAACATTTCCTCTGTAAATTTTGAAATGACAAAGTCATCTGTTTCTAAATCTTTCACGCCTGGTTTTTCTCCGTCGCTTTCTATATTTGGTGAATTTCTTGCTTCTCCCTCTGATTCGGTGTCGTTTATATTTTCTTCGGAAATTTTGCTGCCATCAGATTTCGAATAATTTCCGTCTCAGAATCAGAAATTATTGATTGGCACACCACACTTTTACCAGGTATTACGGGAATTTGGTTTACTTTTGTAAAATCAGTCAGTGTTTCAGTCCAAGTCTTCTGAGATTCTTCTTTGTTGACAATTTTTGGAGGTAAACGCTTCAAAACTTGTTCTCTGTCAAGTGGAATAATGCCACAATCACGAAAACCAGCATTAATGTTATCTTCCAATTTGTCTTCAATATTTAACAAAGTTTTTCTCAGTAATCCTGGAAATTCTAGTTTTGGGATAACTCCTGCATTTTTCTTCTTTCACTTGCCCAGTGTTTTTCTCCAAGATTGCTTAACAGTCTTGAAAAATGCAGTGTCAAGCGGTTGTGTGAGATGCGTGCTGTTTAGAGGAAGTAAAACGAATCTGATGTTATTTTTTTGACATTCCATGATGACATTTTGGGATACATGGCTTGCCAGATTGTCACCAATAACAACCTTCGGCCTTTGAAGTCTTCTGAAGTAAGCTGATGCTATTGTGAAAAACCATTCTTCAAATTGATTCGAATAGAACCATCCACTCTTAGTATTTCAATATCTAGTGCCCTGTGGCCCATCTTTTACCCAGTTTTGATAAAGATGCTCTGATTTGATTACCACAAATGAGGGTAACATTTCACCAGATCCGCTGATGGCAAACATGACAAATGTCGATGTTTTGCTGTATGTTTGCTGAATCTACGAATTACGACTCGCTGACGGCCAAGGTCATCAGTAAAGTTCTCTCGTCGTAATTAACGATATGCGAAGAAGGAACATTTTCTAAAGATGTGTTCAATTTATCAAAACATGAATTGATTGATTGTCTATCAACTGCAGCCCTTGCTCGTTTTATATTCTCCGTAAGTCTCAGTGCTAAACTATTTTTGTGGCGAATCAGAAAACATTTCGTCCAGTCCGGCCCTGGCAAGTTACTGGTATATCTTTTGAGGATCACACTCCTTTTATCATAATACTGTTTCACCAAAATAAGCACGTCCACTGGTTCTAATAGAAATCCCAAATCGGCAAGACACATCAAAGAACTAACAATTTTGTTTTCTTTAATGTTCGTTATGGTTAATTGTCCACCAGGTTTTTTCACATGCTGATTTATTGTATTTTTAGGTATTCCATATTTAATCTCCAGATTTCTATGGTTGGTTCCGTTCTCCAGCCTTTCATAATTCTGATATGGCCTAGAACCAAGCCTCTTGATATATTTTCGGGGCATGTCACCGGTCACCCTGAAAAGAACCTGAGATTAGATTTCCAACGATAAAAAAATTAAATTTAGCAGCATAAAAAAATCTTAAGATAACATTGAGAATGTGTCAACTGAGCGATCAAAACAAATTTTATAGCAAATATCACTTACCCTCCAATAGTCCAACACCACAATTTATCGACTTACGAAAACACCCGTTTTTCTGCCGCTCTAATGTTTAATTTTTTTCGCGAGAACGAAATGTTATGCAGCTGTGGTGAATGAGTCACTAACAAATAATAAGTAAACACGACTCACTGATCGAATTCCGCCGCCGGCCCAGCGCATGCGTCCCAGCTACAATTTTTTTTTCAAATGGCGTACACTTGTCTCAAGTCAACCGGCTTTCCCGAGTCACCTTGTGTGACGGTACACAAATGAAAACTAATGGATCGGTCAACCTTTACCCAGCAAAAAAAGAAATATTTCGAAAAGCTTACTTAAATTCTATTGTAAGACCGCGCGCAGGACCCAAGTTATTGATTTTGCAAATGGCCTTAAAACAACAATGACTCCAAGACCGTATCAGTGGTATGCCTGAATATTTTGTCCAGGAGGGTATAATTATTACATGTCGTTAATATTTAATATGAAATAAAACTGAAACGTTATGACATTGAACGAAATTGCTTACAAAATAGCTGAACCATTAAACTTTTAATAAATTATAATTCATTCGTTTTCTTATTTTACTTATTTTACAGTTGATTTTGCAATTTTATTTCTTCTATCTATAAGCAGTAAGCTCGCTAATGATTTTGCAGTCTGTTCAACAGAGCAATACTTATTATCATTATCATCTTGGATTTTTGGCAAAATATTTTATCTTAACTATATATGACTTATACAAATATAGTTATTAATTTCTCTTTAGTGTATTCTTTTACTTTTTCACCTGTTCTTTCCTTTCTTTCCAAATAACAACTCCTTTTTCGACTAGTTATCAAGCCTCTGGCCTATTATGATTTTAAAGTCAAAATCCTTTCTCTCTTTTTTATATTTTTAGTCTGTAATAGCTTCCCAAACCAATTATCTTCCGGGTTCTTCGTAACTAAGTAGGGATCTTAACCCTAGAATCTAAGCATAGTTTTTCAGCTCATTTACATTATTTGTTTGTGATGATTTTAGATCATAAAAGCTTGTTTGTTTTTATTTTAAACTGAGGTTGATTCCGAAGTTGATTCACCTTCACAGTGGTACTCTTGCAAGTCATCTAAAATATATCTACTTGTCGGCACAGCAGATTTTTGAAGACTTTATAATTTTCTAGGGATTCTAACGTATGGGTCTCGAGAATACAAAATGCTTTTTGTATACTTTAACTCTTTAACTAACGTACGCCATAATACTTAACTTACACTTTTAAGAATTTGGTATTTATACTCTTTAACACACCAAAACAATAAATAATTACATTCACTTTGGTTTCATGATATCATTGTTTTATTTTGCTATGTATTGTTTTTAGTATAGAAGTGATATGGTCTTTACAAATGGAGTAACCAAGCAAGTAGAATTAAGTTGTACAGATGCTCCGTATTATTTTTATCAGTTTTCCTATAAGGGAGAACTGGGACATCAAATGGGATTTTTGCCAACCCTTCCAGACAGTAAGCATTTTTACTTCTTTACTATCTTTTTATAAAAAAACAGAAAAGAAGGGATATTTTTGTAAACAAGAAGTCTTCCAAGAAATTTGATACAAAAATAAGGGCTAATGTGGGGAACGTCCAGGTGGAGAATGGGTTTAAAATGTATTTATTTTTTATCTACAGTAGATACGCCCATAGTACTTGCAATAACTATCTAAAAGTGTCGTATTTGCGCCACTTAAAAAAAATACATAATTTTTATAGAGGTATAATCCAAAATGTTAATAACTAGCAACGGTCCCTCTAGATCCTATCAAAATATAACAACGTAATCCTGAAAAGGATGCCAATATATAACAGAGTATCCCACTAGCCAGGAAGGGAGCTGAGAAAACATTAATTGGACCAGAACCCACGTATTGTATTGCATATAAACCTGTTAAAGGGGTGCTAATGAATGAATTAAATAGGGAACACCATAGGCTCTCGTTGGAACTTCCTGGATTCAGGTAATCCAGAATATCAATAGAATGTCAGTAGAAGATCAAAAAAATAAACTGCTGGGACATTGCGGCCATAGAAGACACTTTAAACCCTAAGATGTATCTGATGACTTCTTGTGTAAAGGAAAATAAAGCTCCTAATCACATTATGCCATTGCCAAGAATTCAAAATAGGAACATGAATGTCCCTTTGGGGAACAATATCTGAAATCAGAAGAAATCGCGAAAACGCACAACACATATTCTTGAATTCATCAAGAATGTTAACCTGATGCAGTAAAAACTCAAAGGGATACAATAAACGTGGGACTTCAGTACAAGTATGCTTTGAACAGTAGGTATCCTAATTCTGATTAATACCTTATTACCTGGCCTTGTTTAAGTTATTCATTTATTAATGATCTAAGCTCTAGAAGAGTATAAATCAGCTAGAGAATGCAGTGAATTGACTCATTTTCAATTTTAAAATAATAAATTTAAAATTATTTAGTAGGTATTTATTCTGTATGATAACCCAATTAAAGTGAACTTTAATTTCGCCTGGATAGCGAAGATATGTTGTGTTCAAACTAATGGCGTGCAAACACAACCATCTTAACATATACAGGGTGTTTCTTAATTCATGCGACAAAATTCAGGAGGTGATTCCTCGTATGAAATTAAGATGGGTCTTTCCTATAACAAAATTTCTTCAACCCACCCCTTTATGAGATATCACCCTTAAAAGGTGGTGACTAAAATGAAGTTTTTATTTTTTTTCTAAAATTTCAGTTAACCTAGAAACTTGAAATTTTGTAATTTTCGTGCACTCGCAAAGGAATAACCACGGGTATTTTTTCAATATTTCTGTTACATTATAGAGGGGTGAAATTACCAATCCTTTTTTTTTCCTGGGCTCGTCTGACTATGTGTCTCCGAATAACACTGAAGCCTATTGGCTTATTGTGTTTTACCCCATGTTAGTTCATAGCACCCACTCTATCACCTTTGTACCTTGTACAAGTTTGTACAGATCCTTGGGTGAGTGGGTTCTATACGTTGTTGGATCAACCTGGGGTTGTCCAAAAAGAGCCTGTCTTTTGCGATCTAGAGCTTCGCATTTGCACAGTATGTGTTTGGCCGTTTCTGGTTTCTTGTGACATAGTCGGCACATGAGTTCCCCATTGTACATGCCAATTTTGTACAAGTGTCCCTTTACTGGGGCGTGCCCAGTCATAAACCCTGTTATCACTTTCAACTGGTTCCTATTCATTAAGAGTAGTTCTCCAGTTCTTTTGGTACATGATCTGCCTATGAAGGCTTTTCCATGTGTCTGTTTTGGGGTGCTTCCCCAATAGTTGATATGTTGTTTTCGAATCCAGTCATTTATAAAACCCCGGACTGTACTTTTTGGTACTCCTGGGTTTGTGTCTGGTTCCGGTGTTTCTTCTGACCCTCTTTTTGCAAGTTCGTCAGCCTTTTCGTTGTCTTCGATCCCTTTGTGACCTGGCACCCAAAATAGTTTTACTCTATTTCGGTCTGCCAGTGTTCTTAGTTCTTCGATGCATTCCCATACCAGCCTCGACGTAACTTTCTGACTCGATATGGCCTTAAGTGCCGCTTGGCTGTCTGACCAACCCTTACTTTATTTCATATCAAAACTTTTTTTCGAGATGAAGTTTTGTGAAATAAAATTATAACTTGAAATCTTTGTTTTATTTAAAAAAAAAATATTTCTAAATTGTTTTCCCAAAACCAATAGCTGCAGAAAAAAAAAATAAACACCATAATTTATAATATTTTAATAAATTGAGTGGAAAACAGTAACGATGTAAAATGTAATACGATTCATAATAAATGCTGGAAATGACCACCTGTCGCCAAAGTACATTACTGAAATTTTAGAAAAAAAATAAAAACTGTATTTTAGTCACCACCTTTTAAGGGTAATATCTCGGAAAGGGGTGAGCTGAGGAAATTTTGTTATAGGAAAAACCCATCTTAATTTTATACGAGGAATCACCTCCTGAATTTTGTCGTATGAATTAAGAAACACCCTGTATATATTTGTTTATTATTTTTATAGATGTTGAAAAAGTAACACATGCTGAAGATTTACCATATTTGTGGGAAGACTCTCTTCACGGTGACCTAAGTCAGTATCCAAAAGAAGATGGGTTGACGTTACATAGAATAGTCAAAATGTGGACTAATTTTGTTAAATACTTGTAAGTATTAAACTATTGCATTCATCCAGTGGTTCTCAAACTTTTTTGGTGACGGAACCTTTTTGAAAAGTGAAATATTTGACGGATCCCTAACCAAATTTCGGAAAAAAAGTCCTTCTTGCTCCAGCCTCTTGTCAGGTTCCTCCCGTTTCTTTGTAGAGCCCACATTATATACTCCTTCCTCTTCCTGACACCTAAAAAAAAAGATCTTCCAAAATACTAAAATCATATGCTACTTCCTCTTCTTGGCTCCTTAAAAAAAAGTCTTCCAACCCAAACTACTAAAAGTCCTTCTTCTAAAAAATGTCCTCAAGCCAAGTACCGTTGTAGCGATAGGTACTGCTTTTTCTTCACGGAGCCTCCGAGGAGCACACTTTAAGTAACGCTGCATTAATCAATAAAGGAAAATATTTTGAAAAATATTTCAACTGATTAAACATATATGAAATATAAAGATATTTTGATAAATGATGAATAGTTTTAAGCTCATTGTAATAAAATCATGTATACCTCTAGAGAAGCGTTTTAGGAAATTAAAATGTAAAAAACTAAATTTTAAACAAATTAATATTGCATAATAAATAATTATCAAAATAGAATAAAACAGAATAGGTCTTAATTAAAAGAAAGATTTGGTCCACAAAATAAAAGCACCTGCTTACAGAAGTGTTCACTTCAAAACCTTTCTTGAAATGAGCTTTTCACTGCGCATTAAAGGCTAGCGCTGCATTAGACCAAAATTTAGCCAGGCGTTTCAACAAATCTTTTGCTCAATGTAGAGTGTTAACGTGAACAATAAAATTTTGTCTGCTGAAGATCAATGGCTAAACTTTTACTAAATATAGAGCTAGTCTTACCTTCACCTTAGACGTACTGAACACTCCCCACCAATAATAAATTTCCGATTATTTTATAGCAATCCAACTCCTGAGCCAGATCCACTCCTCGGCAACATTACCTGGTTTGCGACTGAACCCAATAGTCTCAGATACTTAAACATCAACGCTACATGTGAAATGCGTGAACATCCAAGGCATTATCAACAGGTCAAAGAAATTTTAGAAAAGTACATGGTACCTCCGTTTGACAGTTTTTCGTAAAAGAAATAATTCTGATAAATACAAAATGTGTACATAATAAAGTATAAATTATTTTTGTTTTCTTTTATTCTATATAAGAATCAAAATAACAAATGGGCCCTCTATTTGTCGTACTATTTACTTTCTACTGGGTATATTGACAACGTTTCAGAGGAAGATTGACTCCCTTATTTTTGATAACCTATGTTATTTTTAACAGGTAAGTTATTTTATAAACACACAGAAAAAACAACTTGTTTACCAATAAAGTTTATATTAAAAATAATATTACTTGTCCATCATAACCCCCTGATTGTTTGAAGATAGTGCAACGTTTATTAATTCAAACAGTTCATTTATTTATTTTATATTCACTATTTACACTATTACTTTTATAACGATACTACACATAATGTCTTTAGCTGAACCGGAACGAGACTTCACATATCCTAGATATTGACTATCAGTTTCTTGGATAAACGTTCTTCAACTATAGATTGATGGTAATAATTAGCGTCTTTTTTCACTTGCACCAATGTTTTATCTTTACGTCCGTCAAAATATAATCCGCATACACTAGTAGAAGAAAGTTTATCCTTTCTCTCCTTAACTTACTCCGGTCAATTACTTTGGAAATGTCTTCTAGTGATATTGCTCCGACATCTTTCAACACTACAAATGCAAGTGCAGCTGCAGTTCTGTCGGATACACCATGTTTGTCACTGTCGGATACGCTATGTCTGTCACATGTACTGACAAATGAAGTTAGGTTTAATCTTATTTGTAAAGTTTTTACTTTAGTTTCATCTGTAGAAGTAGATGTCAAAGGGGAACAATCTATTTTTAATTGTAAGTTGGAATAACTGGTAGTCTCTGATATTACAAAAGACATAAACCCCTTTTTAAACATTTCTAGTCGCTCTTTCTCTATCTTCTTTCTTTTCTGTCTTTGCTGCAATTGTTTTGTTAGTCTTATTAGCTTTACCTATAACCATCCTCCTTGTAGTTCTATGATCCAATCAAAATGTTATTTCTTCGGGGGGCACCTTGTGAGACTTACAACAGGTAGAGCTGGCACAAGAATATTCAGGTAAATCACACTTACATGCTGCAATATCGAACATTGTGACCTTTGCTTCATCGCTAAAAGTTTTAATTTTATTTAGATATGACCACTGATCTGTATTATTTTACTGGATAGGATATAGACTATATTTAACATACTAAAAAACCGTTCCACCAAGGAGACCGGAAGTGCGACAATGCTGGCCGATTTGGGCAAATTATGGTGGGTTCACAGAACTGAAATTTGGGATAATTTGACATACCTAACCTATAATTTGATTAGTTTTTCTTCTTATTCTTCTTCTATTGCTTTTGCGGAAAATTCACCCATGAAAGGGTGAAAGAAAATATAAAAATCGAAACGTGAAGCATATTGTGTCTTCAGGAATGAACGTTTATTGTTTATTTCATACTCTTTTTACTTTGTTTTCCACAATAAAAAAATCTCATCGTAGCTTGTTGACACAATTAAATGACAAATGGAAATAGAGGTTACGTTAAATAACATCCGGTTTGCCCATTGATAAGGCAACGTAAGGATACGTCATATGTATTATTTTTGATATACAAAAGTGGGACCGGTAGGCGTGTCTTTTGCACTCACTAAAATGGCGGAAGAGCAGAACCGGATTTACACATTTTTATTGTACTATTTCTGGTAAAGTATCATTATTTGAATTATAAAAATGAATTTCCTTTTTATAGACATTGACTTAAAAGATGGTGGAAGGCCGAAGTTATAAAAGAAGGGGGTTTAAAAGCTTTAATATGCCCGATTTTCAGCCGAGAGGTGCTGAATAAAGTAAATAAAAGTGTTATGTATTAAACGAGAGTAACGAGACAAGACAAGACTTTTAATTAGTTTTTATTCTTAAAGACATATGACAAGATACATGCGGTTAAGACGAACATGACAGACTCCCTCTTGCGTGATGCGCGTTGTCGACTGTCATGTCGAGCTGTGTTCCGAAACCAACTACACGAATGCCAACTTAAATATAACATTTCTCTCTTTCTTTTTAAAGGTCCAGTCTAGTCGGCGGTTTAACAAGCCTACCTGACCTAGACACAAGGGGAGTTTTTGGCATGGAAGCTGAAACAGGGCCATCACTAGTATCCATCTTATGTGGACTTGAAACTGTTAGTTGGGGCTTAATTTCAACTTCCCTTACAATACTTGGTTGAGGGGTAATAGGCACTGTAGGTTTAACTATTTCCGGTACTGAGCTTGAACTGATCACTTGATTATTTCCACTAACATTTTTATCGCTCACTAAGGCGTCACTAAAATCAGGTGAGGTTGTTTCATCCGCACTACTTAAATCTGAGCGCAAACTATCAGAATGTACAAATCTAATATTCTGATCTATTTGGACTAAATAAGTACAAAAACTCAAAACTTTTACAATTTTTCCTGTTTGCCATAGTTTGGTTTGCTTATTCTTAACAAAAACGTTTTCATGGACTTTATATAGTTTTAATGTTCTGTGTGTGTTATCAGTTCTGAATTTATTATAATTATGGCAAGAAGGTTTGAGTAGATCGAATCTGGTTCTTGGCCTAATCTTTAAAATGCTTTCAGCTGGAGAGATACCTGTAACCGTTGAGGGTGTATTTCTGTACGTAAATAAGAAGTTATTCAATTTTGTCAAAAGTTCATGTTCATTAATATTTTCTACCTTTTGTGAAAATAAAGATTTTTCTAACCCCTTTTTCACTGTTTGGACCCCACGTTTAGCTACTCTGTGGGTGGTACGGAGGTGAAACGCAACTGCCCGCTATTTTGCACTCCCTTAAATTTACTTGTAGCAAATGACACTAAACGAAATAAGGTGTTAGATCAAAAGCAAAATTTCGTGACTTTACTGCACTAATAATTGTCGAAAAATAACTAATTAATATTTTACGACATATCTTTCCTAATAAGGACTTTCAGAACCATATTTACTTGAACTATTTTAATCTTTGAAAATGTATGACTTTCAACCTAAAACATTGTGTGAACTATCAATATAAAACTTGCGCCGGTCCTGTTCGAGCCAGCACCATTATGCGCATGATCTATTTTCTTATGTTTTCACTTTTGATGTATGGAATTAGCTTTCTATACTATTTCTATGGGTTATTTAGATGACGAATATCGTGGCAAATGGATTCAATTTAAAATTATGGATCACAGTGGTTTCGTGATGATATCTATGAGTATTACGTCACCTGTTACCACTAGCACAACAGCTTTTAACCGTTTATTTTTCCCTGCAAATTTCATTAGACTAAGTATAACAGTCTAAAATATACGATGGTAAGAGATGACTTTTAGGTAGCACTATACCTATATATTGATATTGAATGTTTCTTCTTAGGAGCCCTGCTTTTTTTTATTTCTTCTTGCTTCTTCTGCTTCTCCTGTTTCTCCTAATTCTCCTGCTCCTCCTATGTATTCCTACCTCCTACGTCTGTTATCTGCTACACTTTCCTCTTAAATTGAAATAAATTTCTCACTACCTTTCTTTTATATCTCCTCTGCTCACTGTCTCCTTTTTTGTGGACTGCTGGTTTCCTCTGTCTGCCTCGATTCCTCTCACTGCTCTATCTGTTCTCTAAACTTTACAATAAAATCTCTTTTTACCTTTTTTATATATTCTCGTTTATTTTCTCTTTTTTCAAAACAAATTCAATATATCATATTTCCCAAAAAGCTTTTTTGACAATCTCCACATTTTTTATTGACAATCTTCCAAATCAACACAAACCCCGACATTTTGATTTTCACTTTAATTTTGATTTCCAGACACTTCACCACCCCAGTATTGCTCAATTTAGATAATAAATTTTATGACGTCAGGAATTTCTATATCAATATATTTATAATTGAAATTGATTGGTTAGAGTGTTAAATATATATTAAAAAAAAATATCAAACACATATTTAGAACCGCCATGAGAATAATGAGAATAATCTATTTAGCGTAATTATTATTGACATTATACAACAGTATTACATAAGATTAATACATTATTATTGTATTTAATTGACTGGAAAAAGTATAATTCGAAGTAAAAAAATTTTATAATATAATAAAAAATTATCATTACAATATGCACTTCGCAATCAAATATCTTTTTTATAAAAAAACACTTGAAATATACGATATAAGTAATCATTTTGTTATAAAATAATAATAAAAATATATTTTAACAAAGTACTTCAAATATATGAACTATATAAATAAAAAATTTTAATCGAAATACTTTATACTTGAACAAAATGATATCTAAAACGGTGATCCTATTTTATTTGGCAACAATTTTAGCTGAACCTGACGGTACAATAGTTCAATTGGAAAAGGGTAAAATCCAGGGGATTATTCGAAAAAGTGAGAATGGAAACGATTATTACGCCTTTCAAGAGATTCCTTTTGCTGCTCCTCCTGTGGGATCCAAAAGATTTCAGGTCAGTAAATTCCAAATAAAATTTATAATTGAACAAACTTAAACGTTTACTTTAAAAATATTTATATTAATTTCTTAGAATAACTTAACTCATTACAGTGGCTGCTCATGGTCCTAATATTTATTGATGAAAGAGTAACATTCGAAATCAATACCACAATTTATTAAAATAATGCAAATTAGAGTTCAGACTACTTTAGGTCATAATTTTTTTTTTAATTAAAATTCAGAATATCAATATGGAACCATACTGAACTAATAAGAATAATACAGGGTTACGTGTGGCATTAAAAAAATATGTACCAAATTAATAAATATAAATAATGTAATAGTATATTACGTGACAAGAGCTGTAAGTAACCCATTTCGCACGAAGTAAAAAAGTTTACGCACGAAGCCGCGCAACTTTGTACACTTACTTAAATGTTTTTAAAATGTTACATTATTGTATTATAAATATTACTGTAACTGATTTCAGCTACCTCAAGAACCTGAACCATGGGAAGGCATCTTGAACACAACAAAAAATACTAAAATTTGTATACAAACAAATTCTAGACATGATTATCTTGAAAAGAGTGAAGACTGTTTGTACATAAATGTATATTCACCTGTCGTAAGTATATAAAATATCGTCTTTTCATATGAATAAATAATCAATTAATTCGATTAGGTACATTTTTATTCTGATTTAAAATGTATGTAACGCCAGTGTCTTATATGGTAAATTTTAGTAAATTCTTTTCTTTGTTCAATCCTTTCTTATACCAAAAATATATACTATTAAAATAGAATAAGGGAAAATTTTGAACTTTTGCAACGATTAGATTACTAACAATTTCACTATTTTGATATTTTTATTTTACCATTTAATTTGATATTTTTCAGAATAATAATTAATCTTTAAGGAATCATTTTTAGTTTACTATATACCAACTACTTAATATTTTTATATTCTCCTGTATCTAAATAGTTATTTTTGATGCCTGATTATAAAGTGTATTCCCGATTTAATTTTTGTCATTTTTTTATAATTATTAGGCGTAGTTTTATGTTTTATATTTATTATTACTTTAGGTACCTGGTAGCCAAAATAATCTACTTCCTGTTTTACTTTGGATTCATGGTGGAGGATATTTTGCTGAATCAGGAATTTATGAATATTACGGACCAAAATATATTATCGATCAAGGAGTTGTAGTTGTTAGTTTTAATTATCGTTTAGGTGCATTTGGTAAGCTATTTAATTACAAAATAGTTTTTTTTTTCTATTCAGCTAAATTAGAAAAAGATATGGTGGTGGGATATTAGCCAAACCGAAAGCATAGCGATAGAGGGGATATCGTAGTTGCCACATGTTCGTCGGAAAAGCACAGATTCTTTCAAAGATTTTTATCTTTAGTCCTTTTTATCCATTTCCTCAATTTCTTTTAAATTCTGACCTGCTTTTTCAGGTGACCTCAAATTCAGAATAAAAAGCAACATGTGAAATTTTTACTCTTTCAGGTTTTGTAGGAACTGACGATGGTACTATTCCCCTTAATCTTGGTTTAAAAGATCAAAGACTTGCCATAGAATGGGTTAATAAAAATATTGAATTATTTGGAGGAAACCCAAATCAAGTTGTTTTAGTAGGAGAAAGTGCTGGTTCGATATCAGTGGGATATCATATTTTAAGTCAAAAACCCAATGAAAGTGAGTAGTCAGTAAGAAAAAGTATTTATTGCTGATTGTCTAATTTTGATTTTAGACCTATTCCATGCAGCGATAATGCAAAGTGGATCACCTGTTTCTGGAATACTCAAACAAAATAATCCTAATACTGTAGCGTTTAATCTCGGAAAACTAGTTGATAAGAGTTTTTCATCGAATAGTACTTTAGAACTATTAAATTTGTTGCAAAATGCTGATGCTAATGACATATTAGCGGTAGGTATATACGAATACATGAGTTTTAAATAAATAAGTTTTGAGAAAAGTTTTCCTTAAATATCTACTCAATTTAAATCTCTAAACAATAAAAAAAACTTTCTTGAAATTTAAATAGATATAGCAAAAAAATGTTGTGAAATAGCTACAGAGCATATGTTGGATATAAAAGCAAAGCTATGCCTAATATAAACTAATAAATAGTGTATTTTTATTACACTCTGCATCGTGGGAAAATTAATCGTTATCTAATACAATGGCTGAACCCGGTTCTAAACGTGAAAGAGCCAATTTAAACCACGTTTTAAATAAATTTACATCCATGTCTTCATGATAATCGTAAGTCTTTCAGAAATTTCCTTCAAAAAACCTGGTATCATTGTGAATAAGCGTAAACGATTCCTGAAGGTGATTTCACTTCCGTAGAGAACCCTTGTAAGAAAGCATCTCTACGATAACTCTTATCAGCCTTTTGTAATGGTGTACTTTTAATTAACCTAAGTTTATTCTACATCACAAATGATTTTTTCTCATTGCAATACCTACGAAATGTGTTTAATTACCTTTTAACAACAATTGTCTCATTTTTAATAAGACATTTACGGCTTCTTCTACAATGACAAAAACTTTACTGCGTCATCTACTGCATAACTTGGAAAACGTTAAAGAATACCATCGTATATATTTTTAGTAAGTTATAGTAGGCTTTCAAAAAATTATGTTTCGCAAAATAGTTTTGATACAGTAAGGGTACAAACTGATTTATTTTTAACTATACTAGAGGATATCCGCAGGGGAGAGTGCTGTCTCCACTCCTGTGGAACCTTGTGGTAGGCGCGCTGCTTAGGGCTCTCAAAGATAAGGAACATAGAACCCTGGGATATGCCGATGATCTAGTGATCATGGCACAAGAAAAATACAACGCCATAGTAAGAGATCGAATACAAGAGGCTCTAAATATAGTAACGAAATGGGCAGAGGCGGAAGAACTAAACATTAGTCCAAACGAATCTGACATAATTGCATTCACCCGCAGGAGGAAATTGGTAAACCTAAGAGCTGCAAGTATCCAGCTTAAGATGGAGGTAAACTATCCCGGGGTTATGATTGACTCGAGACTTACCTGGAACCAGCATCTAGAAAAAAAAAACAAGGAGAACGGAAACCTCGTTAATGATGGCAAGGCTATTTTTTGGAAAAAAATGTAGGTTAAAATCAGAAATGGTATATTGGCTTTATAACATGGTGGTGAGACCGATAATAACATACGCAGCTTTGGTGTGGTGGCTAAAGACACAGCAAAGGAAAACAATAACGAGGCTAAGCAAGGTACAAAGACTTGCCTGCCTCGGAATAACGGGGGTAACAAAAACAACCCCTATAGCTGCAATGGAAGCACTAATAGAACTTCCACCTCTTCATTATAAAATCAAGGGAAGGCAAGATTAGGTGCTTACAGATTAGGGAATACACTGGGAAATCTTAAAATTGGGCCAGGTCACATGAGTATCTCAAGGTTAGTGACAGGAAACGTGCTAGACAAGAGATCAGACCATATAATCAAGTGGTACTCTTTTAATACTCCATTTGAGGTTTAAATACAGGAAAGAGCTGAGATCACCATAAGGGAGCCCAATGCCCAACGACAGGAACAAACCTGGTATACAGACGGGTCTAAGACTGCTAAAGGCACTGGAGCCCCAGTAAAGGGACACTTGAACAAAATTGGCATGTACAATGGGGAACTCATGTGCCGACTATGTCACAAAAAACCAAAAACGGCCAAACACATACTGTGCGAATGCGAAGCTCTAGATCGCAAAAGACAGGCACTTTCTGGACAACCCCAGGTTGATCCTACAACGTATAGAACCCACTTACCCAAGGATCTGTACAAACTTGTACAAGGTACAAAGGTGACAGAGTGGGTGCTATGAACTAACATGGAGTTAAACAGAATAAGCCAATAGACTTCAGTGTTATTTGGAGACATAATCAGACGAGCCCAGGAAAAAACTAAGATCAGAAGAAATACAATAAATATAACAAAATATCGCGATCTACCTCATAATGTATACAGCTAACGTCAGCGATCTATATTAGAGACAACGCGCCACGTCTATTAATACGACGAAGCATATTTCGTTCTGTTGCATTTTTTAAACATTAAAAACCCAAAGAGAATTTCTAAGTCTAAGATACGAGTATATAGGCAATGCACTACAAGTTAACTCAGAGAGGTTAGCTCGGATGTCGTCTGATTTTATTAAAAAATGTTTCGGTGCTTTAAATTTAAATATTTTAATTTAGCTCTAAGACAAATAATCTTCAGTAAGATTATAGTGCAATAGTTATGTATTTTAAAAATTTAAAAATCTTATTATTTCACTTAAATTTTAAGTATTTTATATAAACTATATTTTGGGCCATTTTCTAAAAGTCTTAGTGATATACTTTTAATGCATTTTAATTACATCTAGTATAGAGGGAATAAATAATACATCACTGGCTATAAAGTGAATTTTACTTTAAATTTGAGGATTTTATCGCCCTATATCGCAAATGTAATCATTAGGAATTATATAACCTATTTCTTTTTTTTATTATTTATCCTTTGTTTTTTAGACTGGAATATTTGGCGGTGTTGCTGTAGAAAAGGAAGGTTTATTTTCTTCTCTTGGTTACCAAGCTTTTCAAGATAAGAAATATAAAAAAATTCCAGTTCTAATTGGAATTAATTCCGAAGAAGGAATTGTATTTTGTAAGTAGATGCTAGTAGCAGTTTTGCTGATTAATCTACATTAGTACTAAAGGGACTATAAAATATATTACTGTAAGATAATCATTGCAGTTAAAGTTAAAAATATACCTTGTGTATTTGAAATTTAGGTCCAATCATATTTTTATTATTATAAAAATTACCTTGGGTGAGCATTTTCTTTAATTACGTAAAGAACGCTGAATCAGAACAATAAAAATTTAATATGATTCTTTAAAAAAAAAAATATATATATATATATATATCCAGTATCTAAGTATTAAATTTTTCTTGAATACTAACAAGCTTTTACATGAAAATAAAAACTCTTTGATGGAGGTACAAAACTTGAATGGTTGGTCACTTTTTAATAAAATACAATATTATAAATAATAAAATTAAAATAAAAAAAAATCTTGTCTAACTCGTTTATTTTGAGTGACTTCGCTTCGCCCGTACCGCTAATAATAACTCCTCGCATTAAATATGGCATTTCGTAACTTGTTATATAAATAGCTGTTAAAGCTAAATAGAAATATGTTTTACGTTTTACCACTGCGTTACAAATATAATAAATATAAATATAAACATTAATAATCATTAAACATTAAAAATCCAATTTTCTATTTAATTTAATAAATATACTGAACAATTTTAGCTTTACCTAAGAATGAAACCAAGATGAAACAAATTGATGCTGATCCAACTCAATTAATATCATACGGGGTTAACATCCCCCCCAAATCCAAACAGGATGTTGGATTGTTATACAAGCAATTATATGTTGGCAATAGTTCATTTGAAAGAGATTTTGGTGGATACATAAAGGTAAACATTTTTTGAGTCATTTCTTTATCCCAGAACAAAACTGTATTCATTTTTTTTTATAAAACAGTTTTTTTTTTTTTTAAATAGGTCAAGAGTAAGCCATTTATATGATAACATGTCAATAATGGATTACTTTTGTTTAACGATATACTAATTTTATTTTGCTTTTTATTGTTTTTAGTATTTAAGCGATAATTTTTTTACAACAGGCGTAACCAAGCAAGTAGAATTAAGTTGTACAGATGCTCCATATTATTTTTATGAGTTTGCATATAAGGGAGAACTAGGACAGCAAACGACATATATGCCAAACGTTCCAGACGGTAAGATATTATATTTACTAATTATAAAAAACGGAAAAATAGTTTTAAAATTAGAAGTCTTTCAAGACAATTTTACAAGGATTACGTAAAAAAAGTCCAGGTAGAAGGTGGATTTCAGAAGTTATTTATTTTTAAACAATTATATAAAATATCTGTAAAAAATTGACTTATAAAGTCGAGGTATCTACTCTACCTAGAAGCAGACTTTTCAGGTTTTTTATTTCACGTGTATGTTATTGGCTTGTGGTCAGTAAATATCATGAGGTTTCTACCTTCTAGCATACCGATAGTATTTGATGCCTTCATATATGGCGAGCAACTCCCTGTCGTACGTGCTGTATTTTTCCTGAGCGTTTGATAGATTCTTCGAGAAAAAACCTAAAGGTCTAAACTGAGTTTTTTTATTTGTGTTTACCACTGCACCAATTGCGTCATCTGATGCATCAACTGTTAACGTCACTGGCAGGTCTGCAAATAGATGAGCTAATAGAGCCGCTTCAGCTACGGATTTTTGAACGTTTTCAAAACCTTATGTTTGTTGAGAATTCTATTTTAGAAGCTGGTTGTTTTCTTTTCGGGTTTCCTTTTTGAAATTCGTTCAGGGGAGCTTGTAGTTTGGCAATGTGTGGAATTGAGGTTCTATAATAATATATCATCCCTAAAAACCTTCGAAGTGCTGTTATGTCCTTTGGTTTTGAATATTTCACAATAGTTTTTATTTTTTGTTGGGTGTGCTGGGTGTGCTGGATACCTTTATCAGTAACTAGTTAACCCAGAAATTCTATTGACATTTTCCCAAATTCACATTTATTAGGGTTAATAATTATTTTATAATTTTAAAGGCGTTCAAATATTAATTGTAAATGTTCCATGTGTTCGTTTGCATCTACTAAGGCTATCAAAAAATCATCTAGGTATGAAAAACAGAAATTTAGAACTCTTATGACTTGATAAATAAATGTTTGGCAGGTTTGAACAGCATTCCTTAGTCCAAACGGCAAAAGGTGTGATAATAGCTGTTTTTTAAATAGGTATTTGGTAGTATGCTTTAACGAGATCTGTCTTTGAAAATAATTTTTTATTAGCAAAAATAAATGTAAAATATTTTATATTTGGTATTGGCTATCTATCTAGAAGAGTATGCGCGTTCAACAATCTGTAATCTCCACATGACCTCCAGTCGCCATTGGCCTTACGAACCATGTGTAGAGGGCTATCCTATGGACTTTTTGAGGGTTGTTATAATACTAAGGATATATTTAAAATTACATATCTGTATGTTTTAATTTTGGTCTCATTTGCTACATATCAGGTTTTAATTGATTAATTGCAGTTGCCTTGTAATTTGGGTTTTAATGAAACGTCGGCCCCTGTATCTATTAGAAAGGTGTATCTGGTAGTCGGGTCAAAATAAATAGGCGATGGCAGTTACTTGATGTGCCTTTGTCGTTATCCAACATTAACGGCTGGCTGTCGAGTTTTCCGACGTTCTTAGGTCAAGGTACAAGGTTTGATGCATTTGGATGCTTTTTCTTCAGTACAAAAGGAGAATGAGAATAATTACCTAGCCCTTGGCATACTCTTATCGATATTTGCTTCGTTTTTATATCAGTTATTGGTTAGTTCAATTATTAGGGTGTCGATAGTAGAAACATTAGACTTAGTCCAATATTTCTTCTAATATATAAGATTTTAATTGAATTTTAAATTTTTATTATTTTATTTTTATGAACTATAAGTAATAATTATTTTAAATACATTTATTGCAAAATGTTTGCCATTAAATTTTAATTTTTAATGCTTTTAATCGATATACCTATATACTTGCCATTACATCGATAATTGAGACAGTTACCTTAAATGAAAAATCCTCATTATGTTTATATTGCTTATGAAACTTTTAATAAAAAATAGGAAAACAAACAAATATTGATTATTATCATATAATCTGGCTTTGTTTAAATTTATTCGTTTATTATAAATGGTCTAAGTTTTATAATGTTACATAATATAAAAGTTGCTTTAGCAAATATTGAACAATAGTTTTAGATGTCATGTCATGATATTATAAATGAGACAATAAAACAAAATATGGAAAATGGAATCATTTTTATTTTTATTACAAGCGATATAAATTTCTTTAGTAATTATTATGTATGGTATAGTCCATTTAATGGAAACTTTAAACTGAACCATCCTAACACCCAGATTTTTAATATTTTTATAGATGTTGAAAAAGTATCACATGCTGAAGATTTACATTACATGTGGGACGACACTACTAACAGTGATCTAAGTCAGTATCCAGAAGAAGATGGATTAATGTTACATAGATATGTCAAACTGTGGACAAATTTTGTTAAATACTTGTAAGTATCCAATTGTTTTATTAATTAAAGGAAAATTAGAAAATATTTATAACAATATTTTAAGTGGAAAATGAATATCATAGATATTCTGATAGTGAGCCGTGAATTTTAAGCAAGCATCTGACATGTAGGGTTTATTTTATATATTCCTGCAATTAACAATAGACCTTTAAGATAACCCCTCTACCCTCTATAGCGGTACACGCGCCAGTAATTAAGTAATTTTCGTTAAATTCACAATGTCTAAAAGTTCATTGGGGTACTGCTAAATCCACGTGTCGCAACTAATTTAGAGTGTTTTTTTTTGTATTTGTGAAGCAGTCAATTGTTAGTTTGTTATTTTTTGTCTATTTTTTTAAGTTTATGTAAATTATGGCCAAATATGCAAAAAGCAGACACATCTTGTAGCTTTTTGGAACTATGTAGAAAGCAATAAGGAGCCTATTGATGGAAACAAAATAGAATTATATGCAGTGACTACCCTAATTTAGAACAAGAAACAGACGTACAAGATAAAGAAGATACGCCAGAGGAAGAACAAATAAACGAATAATCTAATAAAACAAAATATTTCGCTGAAAAAATAATATCAAATGGCCAAAACACTTACCTAAGAAAAATGTTTGTAGCAAAGCCGAAAATAGTGTCACCTCTTTACATGGTGTCAAAGAATATGGAAGAAACGTCAAAATTCCCACGAAATGTTTTTTACTCTATTTCAAGTATAGACCGTAAATTCGTGAAAAGAAACTTTAGCAAGTGATTTTTTTTGACCAGTCTACAATGGTCTTTTCAATCAAGGTGTTGATCTATTTGGAAGTACATTTTCAAAACTTATCTCTAGGGCTCAACATTATGTTCCCTGTTATGGATTATTACCTATTAATTAGTCAACATTGTTTACAGTATGAACATTGAACAATGAGCTGCTGTTTTAATGCCAGATAAAAGATATAAACTGATTTTCTGATCAATGTAGCATATTAAAGAATTTTTTAAAAGAAATTACAATAAAATAAAATTTTATTGGCAGCAGACGTTCTGCTACCAAATACCCAAAGGTGACATTTTTTGGAAAAATAAAATGGAACATAAACTAAAAAATATGTTCATTCTATTTTATCAAAACTTGTAGATTCTTGATATTCAAGGAATCAGCACTTGAGGAATCCTAATAGACTGCAAAATTATAAATGTCATTACAATGGAAAAAGATTACGATTTTAGGCTGAATTTATATTTTTCTTAATAAAAATAATAAATTCTTCTACTTCCATTTATTCATTAAAGCATTTAAACAGGTTATTAATTAAGTTTCGATACTTAAGGTGTGTGAATCATTAGACGATTTAGCATATGTTGAAAACTTCTGAATTTTTGAGCTACAGGGTGTTACAGTCTCTATATAAGATCGTAAATATTTTCAATGTTAGAAATAATTTTTTTTCTTCTTAAATAAAACTTAATTTCCTATTGTTTTATAGCAACCCAACTCCCGAACCAGATCCGCTTCTCGGTAACATTACCTGGCTTATGACCGAACCTAATAATCTGAGATATTTGGACATCAACGTTACACTTGAAATGCGTGATCATCCAAGGCAATACCAACAGGTCAAAGAAATTTTAGAAGAATACATGCAACCTCCATTTGACAGTTATTCGTAAAAAGTTAATGGTCATAAATATACTTACAATGTGTATATATTAATAAAGTATCAACTATTTTTGTTTTTTTTTTTTTTTTTTTTTTTATTGTATAAGAGAAAAGGTTTTTATTTTGTTAACGATGTTACTAGGTACACTCTAAAGTGTACACAAATCAAAAAATTATATACACGCCAAACGTCATATTGCTGTAGTGGGAGGTGTTTGTGTGAATGCGTTTTGTTTGTTTTCATTTACGCCGTGACTAGCAGTAGTATTTCATAAACCTTACAAGAAAATTTCACATACATAAACAAATAATAATAATGCCGTGACAACAAGAAAACGAAGCAACGACTTCTTGTAGGGTGGCGGTTTCGCCGCCACCAGAAAATTTCAATCCATACCTAGCTACGCCAACCGGCATAAACACCAACGGCCTGCACACAGCTCACCTACTATGTCAAGACGTTTCGCGTGTATATAACTGTTTGAATTGCGTACAAGTTAGCATGTACCTAGGCACTGTGTTTTGTTAAATGTTAGCTCTAACAAACCTTCATTTTAATATTATTGTTTTATCATTTGTGACGTTAGTATTTTGTTTATTGTAATTTTGACGGTAACACCATATGAATTAGGCTCATTTACAGAATATTTTTTTTATAAAATAGTTCAGTTCTTTTCACCTCAATATTAGTGTACCCTGTAGTTTTATCCCCTAGTGGATTAGATAATATGATGTCGCAGAAGATGAAGTTCAAGAGTTTGAAATAAGTACATGTTAGCAGTAAACAAATTTTTGTGTGATTAGTAATTGTAGTACTGTAGAGAACTATTTGAGTCGCCTTGAGTGTCTAGTTTAATCATTCTCACGCATTGTGTTCTATTGGTAACTAAATAATAATTATTTGACTTAATCATTAACAAAATCTAACATCAGCAGTAGGATTCGCTCACTAAAAGTACCACAGAAGTTCCGAAAGTTGACTATTCCTGTAAATGATTCCAAGATTATTCATTCGTTAAATTTATCAGTTGAGTAATTGTTTGGAGATTGTTATTGGCCAATTGGCAAATGTATTTTTTTGTGTTAATTTATTAAATTTGTCAGTTGACTAATAATTGTTTAAAATTGTTATTGGTGATATTCATTTAAAACACCGTCATCCTGTAGAGGCAAATGATAGTATGTAGCCGATCAAAATAATATTTTTACGTGTTAAAAAAAGAAATTTGCACTATTAAAAAGAAACTTACCAACCATCTAGCTCTAGAATAAATTATATTATTTATTGATTTTAATAGTTCTTTTTGGAATAAATTTATAATTCAACTATCTGATAGATACCGGAGAGAAATGTAAAATGGCAAAACATTCCAATTGTAATTTAGAGCACTGATAAGGTTAAAAGGTGTACGCAACGTAACTTTTAACAATAGTAAAATACCATTAAGAATTGAATGCAATGGTATAGGTTTTAAAATTTGTTTATATGATAAGGACACTTAAGCACGCTATTTTGAACATGTAGTGTCTTTATTTTCAGTCATTTATTTTGAATTTTGATAGAGATTCGATCAGAAAAAAAAATGGTTTCTTCATTAAAAAGAATTTATATTATCTCTATTAATAACCGCTGAGAAAAACTTAGAAAAACAAAACGCAGAAAAACTTAAACATTTATTGTCAAATTTGTGTAAGTTTGGAAATGACTATTCAACAATAAATACCACTGAATTAAAAATAAAGCTCTTTAGTGACTAAGTCATTAATTATCACTCGTACCATTTGTCGGCAAAGAGAAGAGAAAATGTTTGGAAAATTATATTTGAACTTGCTTAAAAATGAATATTCCGTTTTATAAAATTTGTATTGATTGTGTTGATTCGTAGTTTAAAATAACAAATAAACACAGATTCTTTTAAACACGCTTTATTTATCCTCAATACTTTTGAGGAATGTAATTCTATACCCTTTAAAAAAACGTTAACCAGAGCAGAAATGACTAAAACAGAGAATTATATAAAGATGTTTGGTACGCCGGTAATATAATTAACCATGGAATTTTACCGATAATAAAATCCATATTCGTAAATATAAATATTTAGCATCATTTAATTATAGAAGGGGCGCTATTGAGCAATATTTAATTTATTAACTGTTCAAGTTAGAAATTTAACAGAATGGACGAGCGCTCTGTCCATATTACTTAAGTCTACCATTCGATGGGCGGTTTTAGCAAATAATTTTTTTGTTTTTGGTTGTTCCTTTGTGTTTTGTTGCCTAAATGATATATTAACTGCCTGACACCTACTAGATGACTTGTTTTTTTTTTATCGCGCGTTCGTAGGTCGTAAGTAGCATTTTGTGACTAGAAAAGTGAAAAATGCTAAACCGATATTGTTGAAATCCGAGGAGCATAGCTTTTATTTCAAATTATTTAAAAAAATATATAAATTGAAAAATGCTCGATGGATACTGTTAAAATCCGTAACTTACAGCTTATTTTTAATTTACAAAGTGGAATAAGTGACACTGACTTGCGTTACTCACTAATTTCCAATATTTTGCTGTAAATGGTTCAAGATTTATTAACCATTTATGCCAAAATTACTTATATTTCTATTAAACACACATATTTGATTATCATTACTTTATATTATTACTTTACTCTGTTTGCACAATAATTTACTATTTTCTTATATTCATTTCATTAGTTTATCTATCTCACACTCTTTTTCTATAAAATAAATAGACAAGCTTAATTGATTAATATTTTTAATTGCAGAAATTTACTTTATCGCTCTCAAGTGTTTTTATAGCTTTTATTTATTTTTAATTTTTAACTGCTAAATAATTTGATAAGTGTGTTTAAAAATCTTAAAAAAAATACAATTTTAAGTGGGTACTTAAGTATTATAATATATATAAGCATTATTATTTTGAACGAACTATCTTACTTAAACAAAATGAAGTCACAAACTGTCGTGATCACCATTTTATTTTATTTGGTAACAACTTTAGCTGAACCTGATGGTACAATAGTTCAATTGGAAAGGGGTAAAATCCAGGGGATTATTCGAAAAAGTGAGAATGGAAACGATTATTATGCTTTTCAAGAGATTCCTTATGCGGCACCTCCTGTAGGACCGAATAGATTTCAGGTTAGTTAAATAAATAAAATTTATTATTGAACAGGCAAATAAGGTTATTTTAAAAATTTTGATATTATTTACTGCAATAATTTTCAATGGAGTTAACTCGTGGTAATAATATGCATTAATAATGTATTAGGAGCCAGGGGGACTAGGGGGGCGCTTGCCTCCTACTCCTCCCCCCCTTCCGCCCCTCTTGCTAGGCCTCCTTGCCATTTGGCGCTTAGTGTCCATATAGACAATATATATATAGAATCTATAAAAGCCAACTAAGGCTTAGTCTTTGCCGACTAGTTAGGAAATAAGTTAGGAAATTTTGGGGAATTTGGCAAATTACTTCACAAGTGTACTCTTTTAAATTTATTCCGAGCTTTCGAGTATGGTTATACTCATTATCAAGGAGCTACAAAAGTTAATAAAAGTTGTTAAAAAAACTAGTTAATTGATCAAAAAAGTTAAACTTACAACTCATTGAGGATGGTGTGTAAAAGGTCATCAAATTAAAAATATTGGACATCACAGTTTACAAAGACGAAAACTATTTTAAACGAACAAACACTTGATACATTATTTGTGTTAATTGACATCGATGTTTTATAAAACTTGTGGAACACAAAAGCACATGGCTAACGGCGTGGGTGTCACGTGGATGTGAACCCCGCAAAAAATGAAGTAAAATGTCATATGTCAGTCAACTGTCAAACCTGTCATCGGCAGAAAAGAAGAACGCAAGTGGCCTATGTCACCTTAGCACAAAGGGTAAAACCTTCAGCCCATGACAAGACTGACTGATGACTAACCTAAGAGAATAATAAATTTTATTATATTTATGTGTTTTAATTATTATAAGACTAATAATTGTACGGAGGAAATTGTGATTTGTTTTAAAAAATGTCACTAACTTTGCAGGCGACGTTGCCCTCTGAGTAAACAGCACGATGCCCCTGTTAAGGTTGCTATCCCCTAGAATGGATCATACCGTTCACTCACCTGACAATATCACAAGCATAATCAGTGCATATGGTTTTAATCGCAAAATTTGAAAATTAAATGTTAATTAGTCAATATAATAATTATTACACACTGACTAACATTAGGAAAATTGTACTTGAAAACAGTACGCTGAAAATTGAAAAATTCAAAAATATACAACAAATTATACGGATGAAATTTTGATTTGATAATTCTATGATACTAGTCTGTATTTGATGTCACCAAGTAAGTGAGGCTCATCAGTTAGATAAATAACTGAAGACCCTCCCTCACCTATTCTGACATCACCTACAGAGCTGGTAACATTTGGATTTAATGCAATTTGAAAACTAAGTTTATGCAATATGAATAACTTGTCATTTTTTTTAAATATCCACATTATTATTAGCTTTTAACATATAGAGTGATCTACAAAAAATTATTTAAAAGTAGACCATGACCATTCAAAAATAGATCATGACCAACAAAAACATAAAAAAAAATTCTTATGCTCAATGGATTTATTTAGTTTTATAGGATAAATGATCTTTTGTAAAGCATTATTTGGGAAGCAAAGAGTTTTTGTCCTCAGTGATAAAATTAGTACGTCTACATACAATATTCTATTATTAGATGGACATGTACTACATAAGTCATTCATGAACACATTGAAAAGTACTGGCCCTAATATGGAGTCCTGTAGTAAACCAGCAGATAATATTTTTTATACTTGATTACCGATAACCACTACTTGGTGACGATAATGTAGATAACTTTTTATCCATTTATTAGAAGTACCTCTCACATAGATTCGTTTCAATTTTTCCAATAGCAACAATGTTTAATCGAGATAAAAGCACGACTGAAGTTTAAAAATGACGCTAGGATACTTTTTATTTTTTAAACAATCATAGATAAAGTAATTTAGAAGTAGTGATTGAGTAGTTTTTTCTAAAACCATATTGATTAACTGATAGATAATTATATGTCATTAAAAAAATCAATTAACCTAATGTTTCAAATATTTTAACAAACTGTGTTTAAATAGAAATGTTTCTATACTTAATAATATCATAAATAGAGCCCCTTGTTTCTATAAACAGAAATAAGAATGTAAATTTAGAGGCCATTATAAGAAACTGACTTTTAACAAAATATTTGTTAATTAATACAGAAGAATCGGAGATATTATATCTCCTACAATTTTTACCACCTCACCTCTAATTTCGTGAATACCAGCGGATTTTTTGAAACTGGTTTTAGTTAAGAATTGAATTTCTAACGTTACTGGATATAAGTAAACCGTTCTAACATTAAAAAACGGCATACTTTTTCGTAATGGATATACACGGTCCAGAAAACAATCGTTAAAGATTTTACCAATATAAGCTAATCCTGAAATGTTGACATCATCCGGGATTTTATGTTCAGACAGCTTTCATTTCTTTTATCTTCCAATTCTTCTTGGTTTCTTCTTTGATTCAAGTATTCTCTTATTGTTAGAGGTTTCCCTTTCATCACTGATTTAGTATCTCTCAAATATAATTTCATTATTGGTGGATTTGGCAATTTTGACATGAAGTTTGAGGGAGTTTAATTACTTTTTGTTATTATTTCCTCAACAGACTTTTATAACAAAGATTTAAAAATTAGTTAAAATTCAAAAAATATATAAATAATTTTTAAGAGATTCTTTCGATACATAATTACAGTGAAACAAAAATTACTTTCCAAAGAACCAAATTGGGAAATCTATTTTTATTAGGTAGCTAACGTGATAGTTGTTTAATTGCTAATGTTTTGTTGTCAATGCAAAGTCAGTAGTCGATACAACATTCTACTAGTTTTAAAATTTAAAAAAATAACTACATTATTAATACTATTGATTTCAGCTACCTCAAGAACCTGAACCATGGGAAGGCATCTTGAATGCAACAAGAAATACTAAAATTTGTATACAAGCAAATTCTAGACATGATTATCTTGAAAAGAGTGAAGATTGTTTATACATGAATGTGTATACACCTATAGTAAGTATTTAGAATATTGCTTTTTGATTTTCTTATAAAATTGGGAATTTAAACATTATTGGTTATTAGGGATGTCACCTGTACAGGTTTCACCCGGACTGTCCGGGTTTCGAACAATTTGTCCAATGTCCGGTCGCATGATGAAAATGTCCAAAATTATCTAGAAGACTTGTTTTTGCAGAAAAGCTCGACAGAAGGACCTGGTGTATAAAATTGTAAACTGAGGACTTTTTTTTAGAAATTTCCCAATCAAAGGTCCGGCTTTTAAAAAATAGAAAGGTCGCAACCCTATTAGATCAATAACCCTAAAACTATTAAAAGCAGGGTTCTACCAAATCCCATCACCCATTTCTAAAGGGACAACAGCACGACTGCCTAAACTTCGTTATAGATGGCGACTACAAAAAATACATATTTCTACTTCGAGGTTTGCGTATTATACGTAGATATCCACTAAATCCAAACATAATAGGTAGTTTAGTTTCAACACATTGTGTGCCAATGTGTCTGTTTTACTTATTTTTTTGTTTTAAATTTAAATTTTATTTTTTGAAATCTTTCACATAAGAAAGATATTGTAATTATTCTGATGTTATTTTCTATTTTTGTATGTATTTTGTATTAAAATGAATTATTATTAGCCGTTTTTTAGCTTTACTCATATTAAGTAAGAAATATGTATGTTATTAACGAAAACGCATAATTTTTGTTTGTACCTTTCACCACCAAATGGCATCGCTGTGAATAGAAACATTTCTGTCAAACAAAATTAATTATTGTAGTTGATAGCGTCTCCAAGAGGTGCGTGCTTCTTATATTGGCCGGTATTAGCCGATACTCACCAAACACAAATCTTCTAATAAATGAAAGCGTTGGGCAATAGTAGAGGATATGTTCGCACCTCCTGCAGAGAACAGATTTTGATAGCCCCATTATATGGCAATGCTTCCATACGTTCAACATAGGAGTTATTTTAGGTTTGATATTATTTATTTATTATTTATTTAAGGTACCCGGTACCAAGGACAATCTACTTCCTGTTTTACTTTGGATTCATGGTGGAGGGTTTTCAGCTGAATCTGGAATTTATGAATATTACGGACCAAAATACATTATGGATCATGGAATTGTAGTTGCTAGTTTTAATTATCGCTTAGGCCCATTTGGTAAGTAATTTTATCATAATTGCTATTTGTGTATTAATAGCAGAAAGTGCTGTTTTGCTGCTTAAGATAAAAAGTTGCGCATGACGCGCAGAAGAGTGCGGCATTTTATCGTAAGCAACAAATAACTTTTTATATTTTTCTTTATTTTTTTACATCTTTAATAACATTCTTTTAATATTCATATTCAACTCCTTCTCTAGTTATATCATCTTTAAAAAGATTTTTTTATAAAATACTAGCGGTTGCCCGCAGCTTAATTTAATGTTGCTTTGTTTATTTAAAACATCTAATAAACAATAAGAAGATAGTAAATGTCTGATTGATAGGAACATTCTTAAAACAATACCTAATTAACAAACATTTCGAATTCTACGATTAACGTGTTAATGTTTAACTGTTTTAGGTTTTGTGGGAACTGACGACGGCACCATTCCTCTTAATCTTGGTTTAAAAGACCAAAGATTTGCCATTGAATGGGTAAATAAAAATATTGAATTATTTGGAGGAAATCCAAATCAAGTTATTATAGTAGGAGAGAGCGCTGGTTCAATGGCAGTAGGATGTCACATTTTAAGTCAAAAGCCTGATGAAAGTAAGCAATTCATTCTGATGAAACATATTTATTGTTGATCATTTTTTTATGTTTTTAGACTTATTTCATGGCGCAATAATGCAAAGTGGATCACCAGTTGCTGGAGGTATAAAACGAAATAATCTTAATACAGCGGCGTTTGACCTTGGAAGAATAGTTGATAAGAGTTTCTCATCAAATAGTACATCAGAACTATTGACGGTGCTGCAAAATGCTGATGCCAATGATATATTAATGGTATTTATTATAAATAATTATTTAATAATTAGTAGATATAGACAGATTTTAATTTTAAATAACGAAACAGACCAATGGGAATGCTGGACACGGTATCACAAAAAAGTCCATTTAGAGATGGTGCTAGTAATATAAGCTTGAAGACAATATCTCACTGGAAAAAGTGACTATTTTTGGTCGAAATTTGAGCATATTAAGGAAAATAACCTAGACATTTTAAAATTTATTGCAACAAACGATTATTTTTAATTTTAACATATAAGTGACATTTTTTGTAATCGAAGCAAAGGTAAAAATGATTTTCTTTACTCAACCAATTCCACAATGTTGGACATTATGAAACTGGTTAGAACAAATTCATTATGTCACTAGTTGCAAAAAGAAAAAAAATCAAAATAAAACGTTTTTGTTCCAAAATCAATATATACATTCATTATTATTTAAAGTTTATATCAAAGAATATCAGGTTGACTTATAAAAATAAAATTTGTTTATTCTTAGAACCTAGTTATAATGTTGTTTTGGTTTTTATTTTCCATTCTAAATCAACACAATACACGAAAAAATAACCCACTTTTTTGAAAAAAACAATAACCTCTATCGACATCCCCATCGAACAAGATTATAACTCACGATACGTCCTTCTTAAATTCAGCCACAGGTGTATCTGTATCTGTAACGTGTGGAGGGTGGATTACCTATATTGTTGACGGATACTTCGGCAAAAGCTTCGTGGCATTCTAGTACTAACCTTGAGTACATTCGAGGTCTGTTCAGGGTGAGTAGTGCTTGTCTGCTATCTTTATAGATGAGCATGTTCCTTCCAGTGATATATTTTTTTATTTATTTTGCTGCTATGAGAATCTGGAATATATTCCATATCCTGAGCCTTGGTTTGTTTTAGAACCGTCAGTGTAGATATAAATCGTACCTGCCACTTCTGGCTTTTCTATTTGTTCTATTATAACTTTATACGGCTTATGGAAGATATACATCGATGAGATGGAGTCCATGTTAGCTTAAAGCTAAGGTGCATTCAGCAAAATGAGGCGATCTATCAGTATAAAAAGCGTATCTTGATTTGCAATGGCTTGGTTGATACTCGGTTAAAAAAAGTTGTATTTCATGTTACGTACACCACTCAAGCCTTAAAAAGGCAGTAACACTTGCCAGATAAATCCTTACCCACGTCATATTTTGTACTTTCGAATAATAGGCAGTATATTGAAAGATTGTAAAATGAGTTACAGCCTTCTTGTTTGCATATTTTTTAATGTAGCAATAAAAAATATACCTACGTATTTCCTATTGTATCATGATTGTATCATACTTACTGCCTTATTCTGTGATGTATTTTGTTAATTGTCATCATCAATAAAACTCAGTTTATTGATTAATTATAAAATTTAAACATTCATTACCTCATAAATAACCTTAACAGTGTTCTAGTAATCCTATTTGTTAACTATTGGAGCATTATACAGTTTCTCCAAAATTCTTAAAAAATATTTTTTTAGTTTTCTGACGTTTCTGAAAATCACTAAAATTAAGTTACAACCTTGTTCGATGGGGGTGTTGATATTAGCAACATAAACATACTACAAGTCGTTTTTTTGCAAAAAGATACTTCATAAGGGGCATTAATTAATATTACAATCTCCTAGCGAATCTGGTGATAGTCTGGTCAACAGTGTCCATCTGAAGGTCTCGATAAAGGTCGCTCCAAGGAGCATCGACAATGTCCCTCAATACTTATAAGAATATATAAGAATATTACTGTAGCTGGCACAACCCCAGAGCTGAATGCCATAGGTGCAAATTGGTTTGAGAACTTGTTTATAAAATAGAATTTTGTTATATGTAGATAGGCTGGAATACCTACCAACTCTTGTCTTTTCTTTTTAACATGGACCTTTCAGCAAAGTTTTGCATCTAATGTAATATCCAGATATTTTACCGAGTTAGCATAACGGATCTGAGCATTAAGTCTGATAAATTAGCAGCGATAAGAACGATTTTTGATGGTTTTGTCATGGGGGAATTTATAACAATAGACGAAATATTACATCCATTCCGAGGGTGATGCGGAATTGTTCAGTATATGCTACTAAAACCTGCAAAATACGGTATAAAATTTTATGCTCTTTGTGATAGTAAAACGTATTACACTTATAAATTTGAAATATATTGTGGAATACAACGTGAGGGGCCCTTCAAAACATCAATTAAACAATTCGATATTGTGCAAAGACTAGTAGAGCCACCAAAAAACACTAAAATAAATTTAACTACAGATAATTATTACACTAGTTATGATTTAGCAGAATATCTTTTAAAAAAGGTCAAACTTTCACTGGTACACTAAAGAAAAACAAAACGAAATTACCGCCCGAATTCCTATCGGACAATGCGCGTACATTTGGATCGACTCTGTTTAGATTCCAACCTGATGCCAATGAAATTGATGAGCATACACAAAAATCGGAAATAATATTAGATTATAATAGAACAAAAAGTGGAGTTGATACAGTCGACCAAAAATGTGCTTCTTATACAATGCAAAGAATTACAAGATGGTGGACGCTAGCCATTTTCTTCAGAATTTTGGATATTGTGGGAATAAACTCCGAAAATATATTCAATAATACCAGACCAGCAGATACGCCGCCAAGAAGAAGAAAGTATCTGGCTCTCTAGGTTTATCCCTCATGGAGAAACATCTAAAGGAACGCGCGAAGTTAGAAACACTCCCTAAAGACATAAGATAATTTCTATACCCCTACAAAACTTCTGTCGATGTTCCTGTGGCATTGAATCAAAATCGGAGTGGTCATTGCTATATATGCAGTGCCCACAAAAATAACAAAACAAGAGTTACCTGTGATCAGTGCAAAAAGATTGTGTGTAAATTACACAGTGAAAAACTGGAGCAATATAATAGTTGCCTTTATCCACCAATAGAGGAAGATTAGTTCATAAATATTTTTTATGTGCCTTGCGATATGTTCCCTATTTTGTATGAAGTTTATTTTAGAAATATATTTTTTATTTCCACTACTTCAGAATAATATATTTTATTTTTTGTATTTATTTTGAGTTTAAATATTTTTTCACCAAGTAGTTTTGTAATTATTTTCCAAATAAAATTAATTTCCTAGATTTTTTTTTTAATTTGGTGTCATCGGCATCAACTACTAAGGTTAGTAGCCTCGTGTTTTGTGTAGGCTTTGTAACTGTTTCCCAGTGCCACTTTAGGAACAGCATTGTTAATTAGAACCTAATAGTGAATTGTCGAGTGGGGAATCCTACCAAGGCATCAAAATTAATTTAAAATATTTAAATTAATTAAAAAAGTCCCGGTCAACCGTGGGATTTGAACCTGAGACCTTTAAATTCAAAGGCAGAGACTCTATCACTGAGCCCTCCACTCCCTCAAGTGGAAATTTATTTTACTTACGGCATAAAGTACCGCGGTGCGACCGCTGATGGGATTTTCAAAGGCGCGCCCGCCGCAGGGTTAAGGATCATAATGACTTCAGCTACTTTCCACAACCTAGGGACATACCTTAGTTTAAATAAGACATTAAACAGGTGTGTAAGTTTATGGCTTTCATCGGAAGTTGTTTTAAGATTTCTCCTGTAATTAAATCAAAGCTTTCTTAGGATTACTATTTGTTTTCATATCTTCTGCAATTTCCTTTGAAGAGGTTGGTCTGATAATTGAGTCATCTCAGTTGCTACCTTTATTTCTGATTGGGGCATTCTGCAAGTTGGCCTTTTTGTGGCTTTCCATAAATAATAATCAGTGGATTTATCATTAGTCAACTCAATAAGGTACTCACAAATAGATTCATTTTTTATTCGTTTCATCTCTCCTTTTAACTGCTGAGTGGCGTTGTTAAGTTTGGTTTTATCTGATGGAGTTCTGGTCTGATGCTTTTCTCCTTAGTTTTCTTTTTGCAGAGATTAGGTATCTAAGTGTAAAGGTTAAAGAAAAGGTCTTTTATTTCTCACAAGTCAATTTATTGGCGACCGGTTTCGAAGTTGTCACTTCATCATCAGGCACACCTAAATGGAATGTCAAGGAGTCAGTTGTAATAAAAACAATTATAAAAGTTTACAACTTCTTAAATACTAACGATTTTACAACTATCAATAACCCACTAAATAAATTTAACACTAAATTTAAGAACGTTCTTAAGAATAGTAAGTGTTTGATAACTCCTACTCTTTTCAATAAATTCAAACCTGATCATAAACTTATTCCTCGATTATACGGTTTCTTAAAAATACATAAGTCGGATGTTTATGATGAAATGCCAATAAGGCCTGTGGTGTCCTTCGTCAATTCCCCAACATATTACACCTCAAAATGGCTTAATGATATTCTTAAGGAACACTACAAGGATTATTTTGTTCATACAGTAAAGAACAGTGTACAATTGATAGAAAAAATCAAAGATGTTCATGTCACTGACACAGATTACTTAGTTTCGTTAGATGTATCAAATCTTTTTACTAATGTACCTATCCCAGAGGTTTTAGAATACATCAAATCTTACTTGTCTTTATCTACCTTACCAGATGTAGAACTGTTGGAACTTATGAACTTATTAACAATTAGTCTTGAACAAAACTTCTTCCTCTTTAATAATGACATTTTTACACAGACAACAGGATTAGCTATGGGTTCGCCTTTATCTCCTATACTTGCAGACATCTTTATGCATAATTTTGAGAATAACAATATATTAAACAACAATCCTTTTTGCTCAGCTATTAAATTCTATCATAGATATGTTGATGACATACTGATACTATGGACTGGTGATCTGGATAAGTTAAATAACTTCCTAAATTATATAAACACCATACATAGTAACATCAAATTTACATTAGAGATAGAAAACAACAAATCTATCAACTTCCTTGATTTAACTATATCCCATTGTACAGATCTTAAGTTGGAATTTAACATATTTAGAAAACCTACTCACACA